GATTTTTGATTTATTGTAGAGACGAGGTCTTGCCAAGTTGCCTGGGCTGGTCTCGAACCCGCAGACTCAGGCAGTCCACTCACCTTGGCCTTCCAAAGTGCTGGGATTACAGGCTGAGCCGTGGAGCCTGGCCAATAGACCTGTAAATGTAAGGGTCAGAGCCTATGCCCCCTCCCTTCCTCTCTCTCCCCCTCCCTCCTTCGCTCCCTCTCTCTCCCCCATCCATCCATCCATCCATCCATCCATCCATCCATCCATCCATCCATCCTTATACCTTAAATATATGTGCATATATCTGTACCATGCTGTGCTGATTACTGTATGATTTAAAATTGGAAGTGTTTAAGTCTTCTGACTTTATTCTTTTTCAAGATTATTTTGGCTTTTGTTGGTCCCTTGAATTTCCATAGGAATTTTAGGATCAATCTGTCAATTTCTGCAAATAGACTATGCTTTTTAAAAATAGACTTTATTTTTAAGAGCATTTTTAGGTTCATAGCAAAATTGAGCCAAAAATATATAGAGTTCTGTTTACCCATCCCCACACACATAGTGTTTCTCCTTCTTCTTCTTCTTATTATTATTTATTATTTATTTTTTTGAGTTGGAGTCTCACTCTGTCTCCCAGACTGGAGTGCAGTGGCACGTTCCCGGCCACCTCACCCTCAACCTGCTGGGCTCCGGCAATCCTTCCGCCTCAGCCTTCCAAGTAGCTGGAACTACAGGCGCGCGCTACCATGCCTGGCTAGTTTTTGATTTATTGTAGAGATGAGGTCTCGCCAAGTTGCCCGGGCGGGTCTCGAACTCGCGGGTTCAGGAAATTCTCTCGCCTCAACCTCCCAAAGTGCTGGGATTACAGGCAGAGCCACCGAGCCTGGCCTCCCCTTATTATTAATGTCCTCCACCAGAGTACATTTGTTACAGTTGATGGATGATTCTACATCAGCACATCATTATCACCCTGGTGATAATAACGTAGTCCATGGTTTACGTTAGGATTCATTCTTGGTGGTGTACATTTTATGTATTTGGCAAATGTATAATGACATGTATTCACCATTATAGTATTCTAGATTATGTTTTTTAGAATTTCTTTTTGTTAGCTAAATCTAATTATTCTAAAGTGAACATGCTTTGCTAGTGTAACTTTTTACAATTAAGAATATTGTTTTAAACTTTGCATTTATTGTGTATTTTTTCCTTGAAATACTTGAAAATGATTGGTAAAAATATCTTATTGCATTTATTCTCACTATATTTCAGTGAAATTAGAGAAAAAAGTTTTACATATGGAGAAATTCAGGACAGTGTTTGTGACTTTTGTAAGTTTCATTATCAGTTGAATAAGAGCTGATCAGTTGAATATCTGGACCCACTGTTAGTTTTGTACACTAGATTAGTGACCCTTAATTTTGAAATATGAACAGGTTAAAAAAAGTTAAGTTAAAATGTGGAGTTTTTAGAAATGCATTTTTCATTGCAAATTCCAATTAAATTGATCTGCGTAAAAACAAACATTAAACTGATTGGAAACAAATATGCACAACTAAAGTTTCAGTCCTGAGATCTACAGAATCAGCACCTTGGGAAGCGGTGCCCCAGCTTCTGTGTAGTCAGAAAGCTCTCCTAGTTATTCTGACATTGAGCAGTTTTGAAACTGCTCCATGATAATTCCTTAGGGTAGTCAGTGTGTTGCTACTTGTTGACCATTTAATAGCCTAATCTTGGATCATGTCTGTTGAAATATTTTGCTTTTGGTTTTTTTTCTCCTCTTCTTGGTGTTTTTGTTATAAGAGCTGGAAAATGTATTGAAGAAAATACAAGTCTAGAATTATATTTAAGCACTTGAAATAAACATTTATAGAGCAGATTTAGTTCATTAGCACTTTAATCTGAAATTTTAATTTCTATCCCAAAGTATTTATTTACTGGTATTATTGACAAGGGGCGTTTTGATTGGAGGAATGTTTTAGAATTTTTGTTTGATTAATTAAAATCTAGCTAAGTACTCCTAAATTTTTTCTTTACAGAAAAGTCTTTTAAGTTATGTGTCACCAAGGAGATGCTCCTTCTTAGTATTACAACTGCTTATACAGGTAATGGAATTACTGTTTTGGTTTTCTATTGCTACATAATGACAATAAGGACTGAAAACAATAACCATGTTATTTTTTCTCACAATTCTGTGCATTGACTGGGCTCAGCTGGATGGTTCTTCTAATGGTATCACTTGGGGTCTCTTGTGGCTGCTGTCAGAGAGTGGCTGGGGCTGGAGCTTCCATAGTACCTTCACTGTGGTCAGGTGAAAGGCTAGGTCTCTTTCCATGTGGCCTCAGGACCTCTGTTCATCTGTATGATTCCCTTTAGATCCCTTTATGACCTGGCAGGATAGCCAGACATCTTTGTTAATGGCTAAAGGCGCCAAAAAAGGGCAACAGGAAAAATGACCAGAGCTTCTTTATGTTTAGCCCTGATTCTAGCCCAGACTTACTTCCACTGCGTTCTGTCAGAGATTGCAAATCACAGGTCCAGCCCAAATTCTATGTGGCAGGATTCTGCACAGGGCAGGAAAACCAGAACATATGACTCATTGGGACCAATGATTTTAGGGCAATGCAAAGCACTATAAAAAATAACCATGAATCAATCTCTGTAACATTCTGTGGGTTAAGATAATTTCTAATGAAATAGAAGTATGTAACCGCGCGTGGTGGTTCACTCCTGTAATCCTAGCATTTTGGGAGGTGGTGGTAAGGGGATTGCCTGAGCCCAGGGCTTTAAAACCAGCTTGGGAAATTTTGCAAGATCTCATCTCTAAAGAAAAAAAGAAATAGAAGCATGTGGTGATGTGGTAACAGGTGGAACATCTTTAGATCTTAAGAATAATGAAGACATTAGTTTCCTTTTTAAAAATGCTATAATGTGCCGATTATCCTTTTACCTTTATGTGCCTCATAAATACAAAATATTTTTAGGAGAAATAGAATAAACATTAAACATATTTAAAATTCATAGTTAAGATTTTGTAACATTAGGGAGTCAAGATCCTCTACTGACTTAACCTAATTTTTACTCTTTTCTTGTTTTGTTTTTTAGTTGGAGTCGCACTCTGTCACCCAGGCTGGAGTGCGGTAGCACGCTCACAGCCACCTCAGTGTCGACCTGCTGGGCTTAGGTGATCCTTTCCCTTTAGCCTTCCAAGTAGCCAGAACTACAGGCATGCACCACCACGCCCAGCTAATTGTTTGGTTTATTGTAGAGATGAGATCTCACCAAGCTACCCAAGCTGTTCTTGAACCTGCTGGGATTACAGACTTGAGTCACTGTGCCTGGGCACTTTTTTTTTGAGTTGGAGTGTCACTTTGTTGCCCAGGATGGAGTGCAGTTCATACCTTAAGCATTTTAATCTGAAATTTTATCATAACTACTGCAGCCTCAGCCTGCTGGGCTCAGGCAATCCTTCCACCTCAGCCTTCCAAGTAGATGGAACTACAGGCACGCTCCACCACACTCAGCTAATTTTTTGATTTATTGTAGAGACAAGGTCTCGAGAGCCAAGTTGCCCAGGCTGGTCAAAGTGCTGGAATTACAGGAATGAGCCACTGTGCCTGGTCCTAATTTTTTATTCTAATCATAGGAACTTTCTTTTCCTAGGAAAAAGAGTTTAAAACATTATTGTGCCTTCAAGCAGCAGTGAATAATACGTATTAGTTTTCCAGTACAATAAGAATACAACCCAGTAGGTATAGGAATGTTCCTGTTTTCTTGGAGCTATAATAAGGATAATATGCACTTCAGTGTTACATAGTTATATAATTATATCCTCTGCCTGCATGTAGAATGACAGGTTTTAACAAAGGATGTCTACTTATTTGAGTTACATACTTTTATCTGAAATATATGGCCACTACCCTCTTGTAGTATCTTAGTTTCAGCTGCTATAACAAATTACCACAGAGTGGGTGACCTAAACATCAGACATTTATTTCTCATAGTTCTGGAGGCTGGGAATTCTGAGCTTAGTGTGCCAGCATACTTGGGTTCTAGTGAGGGCCCTTCCTGGTTTTCAAACAGCTGCCGTCTTGCTTTGTCCTCACATGGGAGAGCAGACAGGAAACATGCTGTCTGGTGTCTTTTTATAAGGTCACTAATCAGATCACGAGGGCTCCACCCTCAAGACCTAATCACCTCCCAAAGGTCCCATCTTCAAATAACGTCACGTTTTGGGGATTAGGATTTCAACACAAGACCTGTGGAAAGAAACAAACATTCAGTCCATAGCCTGTGGTTATTTCTGTTTCATCAATTGTATGGTATCAAATGATGCTCTCCTTGGTGATTAACATTTCAGTCTCTATGAGTTTTATTTTATGTGTTTGTTTTATATGTATATGCCTCAAATACTACTGGATGTGAAGAAAAACTAGGAAAGGGAGAATGTGAGCATACAGTTCAATTAAATCTGATTTTTTTCCCTTAAAGGTCTGGAATTGACTTTCTTCTCTGGTGTATATGGAACATGTATTGGTGCTACAAATAAATTTGGCACAGAAGAGAAAAGCCTTATTGGACTTTCTGGCATTTTCATCGGCATTGGAGAAATTTTAGGTTGGTTTTAAAAGGGAAAAAGTTGTTGCATTAAAAATAACAGTTATAGTTAAAATAGAAATTTTAAGTGTATTTCACCTCTTTCCTTGAATTTTTGTTTTTTTCTGCTTATTTTTACCCAATTGGATGTGTTTTTATGTTTCTATTATCACTACTCTTAAGATAACTAAATTACAAAAATTTGCCAAATAATTCACAGTTGGAAACTATAAATAAGCAAACATATGGTCTCACCCAACTTTCCTTTTAAAATACTTAGAGAGAGTGCCTTGGAATTCCTGACTTTCTTGTTCTCTGATTCTTTGACACCAGTTGGGTGTCTAAGAGTTCAGTCCTATTCTGATCCTAATTATCTAGAGTTAGTGTCAGACTCCTCAGGCTTAAGGTTTCAAGTCCTACAGACTGTCCTTGCTTCAGACTCCAGTCGCAAGTCCTGGGTCCCCAGGCTACCCGCACTTCTGTTTGACTTGGCTACAAATTTGGAGTTTCCCACTGCTTCCTCTCCCCCATTAGGTTTGGTAATTTGCTGAAGCAACTCACAGAGCAAAGGACATTATTCTGTTTATTACTCCAACCCTCTAATCAAGACTTGGTCTTTCTAGCAACCAGCCCCCACCTTGTCACTGTATCTAGTGCCACTTCTCTCTCCCCAAGAACTTAGGTGTAGTTGAAACTAGCTCCTTATGTAATAATTGACATTCCGGTCACTGAGAAAATTCCAAGGGCTTTAAGATCTCTGTGTTAGCCGGGCTTGGTGGCTCAGCCTGTAATGCCAATGCTTTAGGAGGCTGAGACGAGTGGATTGCCTGAGTCTGTGCGTTCGAGACCTGCCCAGGCAACTTGGCAAGACCTCATCTCTACAATAAATAAAAAATTAGCTGGACATGGTAGCAAGCGCCTGTAGTTCTGGCCTTTTGGAAGGCTGAGGCAGAAGGATCACCAGAGCCCAGCAGGTCAAGGCTGCGGTGGCCGGGAGTGTGCCACTGCACTCTAGTACGGGCGACAGAGTGAGCCTCCAACTCAAAAAAAAATAAAAATAAAAAACTCTGTGTCAGGAACTGGGAACAAAAACTAAATATATATTTTTATCGTACCACACTATTTATTCTCTGTTCAACCAAGATTTGAGCTCGGTGCAGTAGCTCACGCCTGTAATCCCAAAACTTTGGGAGGCCGAGGCAGGAGGATTGCTTGAGCCCAGGAGTTTGAGACCAGCCCAGGCAACATAGCAAGAACTCATCTCGCAAAAAATTAGCTGAGCATGATGGTGTGTGCCTGTAGTCTCAGGAGGCTGAGGCAGAAGGATCGCCTGAGCCTAGGAGTTGTGGTGAGTTGTGATTGTGCTGCTGCACTTCAGCCTGGGTGAGAGTGAGAACCTGACTCAAAAAATGATAACAGAACACAGTGATTTGTTCAGCACTTGCAGTATATTGGAAATTATGTTAGGTATGAGGAACTGACTAATTCATTCAGATGCATTCTACATCTGTTGGGTCATAAAAACAGACAAAAAGGCCAGGCCTGTTAGCTTACAGGTGTAATCCCAGAACTTTGGGAGGCTAGGGCAGGAAGATTGCTTGAGCCCAGGAGTTCAAGACCAGCCTAGGCAACATAGCGAGACCTCATCTCTACAAAAAAATTAAAAAATTAGCTGAGCTTGGTGGTGCATACTTCTGTTCTCAGCTACTCATGAGGCTGAGGTGGAAGGATTGCTTGAGCCCAAGAGGTCAAGGTTGCAGTGAGCCATGATCATGCCACTATAATCCAGCCTTGGTGACAGAGTTAGACCCTGACTCAAACAAACAAACAAACAAAAACAGAAAAATACCTTCCCACATAGTACTTATATTCTTGGGGAAGAACACAGATAACAATTTTTTTTTTTAAATAGAAAACTTAGACTGTCAGACAGTGATAAGCACTATAGGGAATAGGGAAAGCAGACTTGGGTTCTTTTTGGTTTTGTTTTTTTGGTTCCTGCTTTACTGCCAACACCTGAAACAGTACCAAATATATATTAGGCATCCAGTAAATGACAGCTAAATGTATGGAATGAGTATTTGGAACAGGGCTCAGCAGAACTTGATAACCAGCTAAGTAATCAGGTAGGGAGAAGAGTCTAGAGTGACAACCAGGTGATAGAGTAACATGGGAAGAGAGAATGTTGTAGGAGATGGGGTTTGGGGAGATCTTCTGGATGAGATTTTGAACATGTTGAAGTACCAGGCAAGTGGAAAGTCCAGGCTGGATGATCAGGAGGGTCTTGTGGGCTGGAGATTCACTTCGGAGTCATCTGTGTGTATGTGGTAGATACAGCCTTAGGCATGGTGAGATAGTACAGGGAGATTCTCCTTGGCAAGTGCTCATTTAGACTCTACCTGTAGACTGCCTGAGAAAAAACTCTGTAGGCAGCCTGCTAACTCTTTTGGAAATAATTTCACATTTAGAAGAAATTGCAAAAATAAAACTAGTACAAAGAACACCTGACTATCCTTTAACAAGATACACCTATTGTCCATCTGTCCCTCATTGGTGATAGTATAATCACCAGGTCAAAGTGTTGCCCTATTTCTCTACTGTACAATTACTGTGCTTTTATTTTCTCCCTTGCAATAAGCCTTCTATAAGGAAACACTTTGAGACAATGCAAATATCCTGCTCCTCATTTAAAAAAAAACTCCCTAGATTTAGCCTCCATTGATGATTCTTGCCTAACTTAGACTTTGCCATGTGTCTTAGTCTGTTTTCTGTTGCTATAACAATACCACAGAGAGTGGGTAATTTATGAAGAACAGAAGCTTATTTAGTTCACAGTTCAGGAGGCTTGGAAGTCCAAGAGCAAGGTGCTGGCATATGATGAGAGCCTTCTTGCTGTGTTATAACATCTTGGAGGTCATAACATCTTGAGAGGATGATAGCTTGCATGTCAGCTTAGGTCTCTTTGCTTACAAAGCCACCAGTACCGTTATAGGGGCCCCACCTCGATGACTTTATCTAACTCTAATTACCTCTCAAAGGGTTCCTCCAGTCAGCATCTAGATTTGGGGATTAAATGTCAACACATGAAATTTGGAGGACATTCAAACCACAGCTGCAAAAATGATGATTTCCCACCTCCAGCACCAAATTCACCCTTGACTCTTGGCAAACAAGATCTTCCTTCTCTCCTTTTATTTACTTATTTGCTATTGCTACAGTCCCATGAATTTCTTTCTTTCTCTCTCTCTCTTTCTTTTCTGTCAGAGTCTTGCTCTGTCACCCAGGCTGGAGTGCAGTGGCATGATCATAGCTCATCATAGACTATAAACTCAAATACTTGGGCTCAACTGATCCTTCTGCCTCAGTTTTCTGAGTAGCTAGGATGTCACCACACATAGCTATTTTTTATTTTTTATAGAAATGAGTGCTCACTATGTTGCCTTGGCCTCAAGCCATCCTCCTAACTTGACCTCTTAAAGTACTGGGATTACAGGCATGAGTCACTGGGCTGGGCCAAGACCCATGAAATTGCATTTTTTCCCCAATGGTTTATTATTTATTACTGCATTTAATTATTGCGGTGCTCCTATTGTCCCAGCTTTGGCCAATGAAGACCCTTTCAAACAGGCTTTTGTGTCCTTGTGGCATGACCCCATCATTTTCTGAGTACTTCTTTACTTCTGGCAAACAAGTTTTTCCTGAATCATCTCATGATTATCCTGCCCCAGGCCTAGAATCAGCCATATACCCAAGGGGCCCTGGTTCCTCTCAGTGGGGAATGGTATTAAGAGACCAAGACCTGTGTACTGGGAGTGCTCACTGCTCTTGGGATGTCTTTGCTTTTTGGCTTTTTCAGTGGACAGAGCTAGGAAATTTATACATGTATACATACCAATACATACATGCAAACATATAACAAGGTAGGCTTCAATATTTTTCAATTATAAATAATTATGCACTGTATGACCTTGCGCACATGTATTTTCATATTGTTGGAGGTGTATCTTCAGGGTAAATTCCTAGAAGTGAGATTGCTAGGTTAAAAGGTAACTGCAGACTGAGTATGGTGGCTCATACCTATAATCCCAGCATTTTGGGAGGCCGAGGTGAGAGGATTGCCTGAGTCCATGAGTTTGAGACCAGCCTGGGCAACTTGGCGAGACCTTATCTCTACAATAAACCAAGAAAAATTAGCCAGGTGTGATGGCGTGTGCCTGTAGTTCCATCTACTTGGAAGGCTGAGTCAGAAGGATCACCTGGGCCCATCAGGTTGAGGCTGTGGTGGCCATGAACGTGCCATTGCGCTCCAGCCTTGGCGACAGAATGAGACTCCAACTCAAACAAAAACAAAAACAACCAAAAAAAAAAAAAAAAAAAAAAAAGCATGAGCTTTGCTACAGTGATCGGTCACACACCTTTATCACAGACTAGATTTTTACTTGTAATTAATTCTGTTTCTGGACTCTATTCTGTTCTGTTGATCTGTCAGTGTACTCAGATGTCAGCACTGCCCTGTTTTAGTGACAGACTTTGTGGTGTTTTACCATCTGGTGAGGACAGTCCCCTTTCTGAGCTCTTCCTCTTCATTGTATCCCCAGCAATTCTTATGTGTTTATTTTTCCATGTGAATTTTTGGACCAACTTGCCAGCTCTATAAAATGATTCATTGGAATTTTTATTTATTGTTTATTTTTAAAATTGGAGTGAAATATACATAACATAAAAGTCACCATCTTAACTTATTTTAAACATACAGTTCTGTAGTATTAAGTACATTCACACTTTTATGTAGCTAATCTCCAGAACTCTTTCATCTTTCCAAACTGAAACTGTATCCCCATTAAACACTAACTCCCCATCTTCTCTCTCCCCAGCCTCTGGCAACCTCCATTTTACTTTCTTTCTTTCTTTTTGAGTCTGAGTCTCTGTCAGCCTGGCTGGAGTGCAGTGGCCTGACTCACCACAGCCTCAGCCTTTTGTGCTCAGGTGATTCTTCTGCCTCAGCCTCATGAATAGCTGGGATTACAGGTATGTGCTACCATACCCCACTAATTATTTTGGTTTCAAGATTACTTTCCCTATATTTTTTATTTTCTGTTTTAAAGATGGGGGATACAATTCAGGGTTAGGTATACAAACGTTCATTATGCAGGTACACAGTTTTTAAAAATTTTTTTTAATAGTGATGAGGTTTTACTCTACAGGTTGAGCTTTCAAACTTCTGGGCTCAAGCAGTTCTCACAGCTCAGCCTCCCAAGATGCTGGGGATACAGGTGCGAGCCACTGCACCTGGCCCATTTTACTTTGTGAACCTGACTATTCTAGGAACCTCACATAAGTGGAATCATACAATATTTTTTATTGTGACTGGCTTATTTCACTTAGCATAATGTCCTCAGGTTTCATCCATGTGCCACACTGTCTTTTTAAGGCTGAGTGATATTCCATTGTGTGGAATGGATACACCACATTTTATTTATGTGCTCATTGAGATTATCTGATAGGATTACATTCATTTGATCACAGTTAGATGTTGAGACATCCCCACCAAGAACAAGGAATGTTTTTCCATTTGTCCACGTCCACTTTTGTGGCTTTTAGGAATGTTATATTATTTCCTTCAAATAGATTTTGAACATTTTCTGTTAAACTTATTCCCCAATGAGTTATCCTTTTGTTTCTGTTGTAAATGGAGTTTTCTCATTCATTATGTCTACTAATGGGTTATTACTTATATATATGAATGCTGTTGATTTTTCTATGTTAAATTTTATGTCCTTAAAAAAACCTTACTGTTTTTAAGATTTTTATCATGGGTTTTGAGGGATTTGATGATGATGTGTCTTGGTGTGGTTTACTTCATGTTTTTTGTGCTGTTATTCATTACACTTTCATTTTAACCATTGTTTCTTCCTATATTTTTTTCTGTCCTACTTCTTTTTCCTTTAAGGTATGCAGTTACAGCTTGAAGTTATCCCCCAGCCTTTGTTTTTAAAAATTATCTTTTCTCTCTTTGCTTGGTTTTGGGTAGTTTGGATTACAGTTAATCCTCGAACAACAAGTTTGAACTTCCCCGGTCCACTTACATGTAGTTCAGAAATACAGTATTTGTGGGATGCAAAACCCATTTACAGGGATGACTTTGGGATTTGAATATACATGAATTTGGGTATCCTCGGGGGTCGTGGAACCTGTCATTAGTCCCATCTGGTTGATGTATTTTTTTATTCCAGATATTTCAGTTTTTCTTCTGTGGATGTTCTTATTTTTTTCATGTCTCTATTTAAGTTTTTGAACATGTGGAGTAAGTTATAGTAATTATTTTAATGTCTTGCTCATTTTAACATCTGTGCCAGTCCTGGGGTAATTTTTTTAAACAGCATTATTGAAATAAAACTCAAAGATTATACAGTTTATCCATTTAAAGTGTATAGGTAAGTGTTTTTTAGTATATTCAAAGGAGTATATAACATCACCACTATCAAGTTTAGAACATTTTCATTCTCCTTTATTAATTTTTTTTGAGTTGGGATCTCATTCTGTCACCTAGGCCGGAGTATAGTGGCATGATCACAGCTCACTGCAGCCTCAACCACCCAGGCTCAGGCAATTCTTCCTCCTCAGTCTCCCGAGTAACTGGGACTACAGGCATGTGCCACCATGCCTGGCTAATTCATTTATTTATTATTATTTGTGTGAGGTGTCTCATTATGTTGCCCAGGCTAGTCTCAAACTCTTGAGCTCAAGCAATTCACCTGTCACAGCCTCCTGAAGTGCTGGCATTACAGGTATAAGCCACCCCACCCAGCCCTTATCCCCCCTTAAAAGAAACTTTGTACCCATTAGAAGTTACCCCACCTCCCTTTTCCTCCTTCCTTAGTCCCAGGCCACCACTAGTTTACTTTCTGTATAGATTTGCTTGTTCTGGACATTTTACAGCGATGGGATCATATAATTGGGGTTGCTTGTGCCTGGCTTCTTTTATTCAGCATCATGTTTTCAGGGATCACGCATGTTATGGCATGTAACAGCACTTCATTCCTTTTTTTGTTACCAAATAATATTTAATTGTATAGATAGACCACATTTTATTTATTTGTTCACCATATGATGGACATTTGAGTTGTTTTTACTTTTTGGCCACGATGAGCAGTGCAACTGTGAACACTTGTGTACACTTGAGTTTTTGTGTGGACGTTTCTTTTCATTTCTTGTGGGTATATACCTAGGAGTAGAATTGCTAGGTCTTCTCTTTATTTGTGTGATTGATTTTTCTCTAGATTGTAGGTCCTGTTTTCCTGCTTCTTTGCAATGCCTGGTAATATTTTTTTTGTTTTGTTTTGTTTTGAGTCAGGGTCTCACTCTGTCATCCAGGCTGGAGTGCAGTGGCACACTCATGGCCACCACAATCTCGACCTGTTGGGCTCAGGCAATCCTTTCGCCTCAGCCTTACAAGTAGCTGGAACTACAGGCACACATTACCATGTCCGGCTAATTTTTTGATTTATTGTAGAAACGAGATCTCACCAAGTCACCCAGGCTAGTCTTGAATCCCTGGGCTCAATCATCTCACCTCTGCCTCCCAAAGTGCTGGTATTACAGGCTTGCACCACTGCGCCCGGCCAATCTGATAATATTTTATTGTAGAGCCAGACATTGTAATTTTACCTTGCTGGTTGCTAGATTTTTAAGTTTTCTATTAATATTCTTGAGCTTTGTTCTTAAATATAGTTTATTTAATTGGAAACATTATGATTCTTCCAGGTCTTGCTTTTAAGATATCTTGGGCAGGACTGGAGCAGTATTCAGTCTAAGGTTAACTATTCCCTGCTCCGGAGGGAAGACCTTTCTGTGTACTCTACCCAATGTCCTGTAAATCATAAGTTCTCCAGTCTGGTTGGTGGGACCAGACACAATTCCCAGCCCAGGGCAGGGCTCCAGTACCTCTGATCTTCTTGGCTGGTTCTTTCTCAGGCCTCAGCTCATTTATTCACTTGATGTGCTAATCAGTGTTCAACTGAAGACTCAGGGAGACCCTCTGCAGATCTCTGGAACTGTTTCTGGGTGCAGCTTTCCTTTCTGATACCCTGTCTGTGAACTCAGGACACCCTGTTATTGCGGATTCATAGACTTTTTGACTCAGGGAGGCTGCTGGGCTCTGCCTCTCCCCTACCCCTAGCTGCAGCCTACTTTTGAGGGAAACTGCTGAACTGTTTTCCAGAGGGGCTGAGCCACCAATATATGACTGATTCAGTTTTTCTGAATCCCCACCAGCATTTGGTGTTATCACTATTTTTTTATTCTAACTATTCTGATAGATGTATCGCGATATTTCACTGTGGTCTTAATTTCTGTTTATTTAATGGGTAATGGTGTTGAGCATCTTTTCACGTATTATTTACTCTCTGTATATCTTCTTTGGTGACATGTGTATGCATATCTTTTGCCTGTTTTCTATGTTGGTTTTGTTTTTAACAGTTAACCTTCACTTTTGAGCTGTAAGTTTGCTGGTATCGATTTCTAGGGTAGAAATCACTTAAGAATTGTACAGGCAGCAGCCCATTCTCTTCTACCTTTCAGTTACAACAGTCTTCTCATACTCGTCTCACTCTTGAAGATTCTCTGCTCGCTATTGAGACAGTCTAAGCTGTTCTGATTGCTGAGCCCTCTTAAGCCTTTCTGACCCCTCTTTGGAATTTACACGTAATTCTGAAACTTCACAATGATTGCCTTTATCAGTGTGATACATTGGCTTATTCGGCTATGATTACACCAAAAACTTGGTAGTTTGATGAGTTATGTCCTTTTTTGTTTTATTTCTGTCGTAAGCCACAGGTCAAAGGGGGTAGTGTGGGTGATACAACAATTCAGAGAAGAAAGACAAGAATGTTACTGAATAGAAATGCAAGTAATTCTGATACCTTTTTTTGCTATTATAATTGATGTCTGGTCATCATTATCATTGTCTGCCTGTGCTGAGGTGTTGGAGATTTTCAAGATGTTGGACATTAGAGAATGTTGATTCCTTGCCTCCTTGATGATATTCAAGACATCATATGGAATGTTTGGACAGTGTTAGTGATGTGTCTGCCTTCTTGATTTATAGGTGGAAGCCTCTTTGGCCTTCTGAGCAAGAATAATCGTTTCGGTAGAAATCCAGTTGTACTGCTGGGCATCCTTGTGCACTTTATAGCTTTTTATTTAATATTTCTCAACATGCCTGGAGATGCCCCTATTGCTCCTGTGGAAGGAACTGACAGCAGTGCTTACATCAAATCCAGGTACAGTGACTGTCCTTTTTCTAGTCATTTGAGGACAGATGGGAAGTAAGAGATGACTCGATATTTAAAGTGGAGCAGTTAATCCTCTTCAGAGAGTCTGTTATCTCTGTAAGGTCATCTGTCGAGTGTTAATGGAGTCAGAATGAGTTTAAATAGGAATCCGTAGTGAATCTCAAGTTATTTTTATAATGGTTAGTTTTAACCTTTCCTCTACTAAATCTTTTTCTTGATCCTTGAAGGAGCACATAAGTGTCTGATTTGAATTTTATATCTCTGCTTTTCAAGCAGTGAAATATCCAGATGTTAGGGCCTAGAGGAAGAACAAAGGAGCAAGGGAGAATCTGGCAGCGGGGAAGGCCATTCAGTCCTTTCAGAGTGGTTTGTGTATGTAGCTTTTGAGGGTATTGATGTATTGCATTCAACTTCAGATTTTTTATAGTTGCAGACATTTATGTCTAGATTTTGGGAGCCCAGCCCAAAAAACAGTATACAGGTTGAGTATGTCTAATCTGAAATCCAAAATGCTCCAATATCTGAAACTTTTTGAGGGCCAACATGATGCTCAAAGGGAAGTACTCATTGTAGCATTTCAGATTTTGAATTTTTGGATTAGAAATACTTAACCAGTAATAATGCAGATATTCCAAAACATATGAAAGAATCTGAAATTTAAAACACTTCTGGTCCCAAACATTTCAGATAAGGGATGCTCAACCTGCATTTTCTCCCCAAACGGTTAATAGACCAGAGTTTGCTTCTGTGTAAAGGTGTGTACATTTGAGTACAGATTCTTACTTTGTAAATTACTGTCTTTATTATTGTTTTGTGGTGTTTAAAACTTGAAGGTAAAATATGTTTGTGGGTGGGTTGCTTTCACATTTCAAATGGCTCTACCAAATATTGGTAATACTCATACTAAGTTAATTTTTATTTTATTCAGCAAAGAAATTGCCATTCTCTGCAGTTTTCTGTTGGGTCTTGGAGATAGCTGCTTTAATACCCAGCTGCTTAGTATCTTAGGCTTTCTCTATTCTGAAGACAGTGCACCAGCGTTTGCTGTTTTCAAGTTTGTTCAGGTAACCTCTTCAGAATGTGTTTAAAGTGGGGTCCTTTTCCTTTGTGTAGTCCCTTGTTTTCTTTAGTTATAGTATTGTGGCTTTAAAATGAAATTTGGGGACATCCTTCAGAAGGATTTGTGAGTAGAATTATGAAGCAACGAGCAGTATTTTTTTCCCCTTCATTTGCATAAGAGATTTTATGTTCTGGACTCTATGGCTCAGATTAGATACTTCTTTCCTTGGATACCAGAATTTCGTTCATTTGCAATACAGACATGCAATACATTTCTCACTCTGAACTTTGTTTTATTACTCTAATGTTCCACAAGGTGCTAGTTTAAATGGCTGAAGTTGTAGCTTATTTGATGAATACCCACTGTCACTGGGAGTTTATGGTGCATGTTTGTGAGTTAGTGACTAAGGAAATCTTATCTAGATGCAGAAAGAATAGAAAGCACCGCCAGTTCCAGCTCTTGGGCCAGACAGTAGTAGAACTAATTACGGAGCCGTTCAGCCCCTGTGTGCATATTGTGATTTTGCTTTGTTTATTCTTAGTCTATTTGTGCAGCCGTGGCATTTTTCTACAGCAACTACCTTCTCCTTCACTGGCAACTCCTGGTCATGGTGATATTTGGGTTTTTTGGAACGATTTCATTCTTCACGGTGGAATGGGAAGCTGCCGCCATTGTAGCCCGAGGCTCTGACTACCGAAGTATCTGATCTGCTGCCCGAGGGGGGCATGTGACTGGAGAATGCACTGCTGGACGTGGAGCTGCGCGGAAGGAGCCGCCTTTCGTCTTCACGGTGTATTGGATGATGTCCAGTAAGGAAATTCAAAGAATGAAGACTGTTAGATCAGCCAGAACTGACGTTCAGGTTTACAGATGTGAGCTATTTAAAACAAGTGGAATAAGGGAAAGTCTGTCAATTGTAATTGTTCAAAGATGTTTTTCAATTCATTATCTGAAGTTCCTTATAATCATGTTATAGAATGTAGACCTTCTCACTCCTGTTCTCACTGAAAGATCCTGCCTTGATTCAGAATACAAGGCCATATGTCATCCAAATATTTCTTCTGGGCCTGGAGTATGTTTACTATGTAATAATTGGCAGCATATGCGACTCCCCATGTGTGTCAGGAATGACACTTAAATAAATAGCGAGATGCTGAAATGAAATCTTGACTTCGAAAAGATGTCTTTCTCTTTAAATACTTTGGTAAGTTCTCTTACCTTGTAGTTCATAGCAAGGAGTGGTCAACTGAGTATTATGAAGTGAGGTAAAAAAAACTCTCTTAGGTCTTAAAAACAGGAATTTAACATCTGTAAATGAACAAAAACACATTTTAAAAGATACACACATTTATTGGGGAGGACTTTTGATAGTAATTTTCCTAAAAGATATGATGCAAAATCCTCCAAACAAACCTATAGTGAGATGAGAGCTGAGGGGGCTGCCGTCATCACGTTGTCATGTGTGTGAGCAGACGCCAGTCCATCATCACGTGTCTGGAACTGGACTGTACTATTTGGGGAGATGCTTGAATGAAAGTGTTAGCTTTCTTCCATAGGTGCTCACTTAATATTATTAAAAATTTGAGACATAATTCAAAGACCATAAAATCCACCATTTTAAAGTGTGCATTCACAAGGTTATATACCCATCACTGTTATCTAATTCCAGAACATTTTTATCACCTCGAAAAGCAACCCCCTGCCTGTGAGCAGTCACTCCCTCTTATCTGACATGGCAACCGCTAATTACTTTCTGTCTTTACAGATTTGCCTATTCTGGACATTTCAAATAAACAACAGAGCTCATTTTAAACTGTACAAATGAAGAGTTTTTTGGCAAAGAAAATTTAGCTGAGAAAGCAAACTATATATATATTTTTCCATTATCTGTGTTAAAACTTGCTAGAAGTTCAGAAATGTTATAGTTGACTTGCAGATCTAAAGAAGTGCACCAGAGCATGCTTTTCAGGTATTTGATGGCAAGTGCAGGGGGTCAGAGAATATTGTAGTTAGCTAGATTTCTTAGAAAAAGTTCACTGGTGTGGGGCACCGAACACTCCTGTTCCAGGTTGTGAAGTTCTGGGTTTCTTTCTTGAAACTGAGATAACCTCAGCTAGCTTAGTTGATGCTATATAAATAATTTCTTTTTTTTAGTTGGAGTCTCACTCTGTCACCCAGGCTGGAGTGCAGTGGCATGCTCATGGCCACTGCAGCCTCAACCTGCTGTATACAGATGATTCTTCCACCTCGACCTTCCAAGTAGTGGGACTAAGGTGTGTGCCACCACGCCTGGCTAATGTTTTGATTTATTGTAGAGACGAGGTCTCACCAAGTTGCCCAGGCTGTCTCGAACCCCTGGGCTCAGGCAATCCTCTCACCTCGGCCTCTCTAAGTGCTGGGATTATAGGCTTGAGCCACCGTACCCGGCCTGTATAAATAATTTATAAATGCTCTTTCAAACTTCTTACAAATGATTTATTATCTCTTTAAGCACATTATTATTTACCGAGATATATTAGTTTTCTAATGTGGCTTAACAAATTACCCCAAGACTTAGCCACTTAAAACAACACACATCTGTTATATCACAGTTCCTGTGGGTCAAAAGTCTGGGGTCCTAGGCTCAGGGTCTTGTGAGGCTGCAGTCAGGGTGTTCTCTAGGCTTCACTTGGGGGCTACTTCTCAGCTCACTCATGCACTTGTTGGCAGGAGTCACTTCCTCACAGGCTGCTGGGCTAAGGGTCTTAGTTTCTTATGGCTGTTGGCTAAAGGCTACTGTCTGTCTGTTGTCCCATGAAGCTATCCTCAGGGCAGCACACAGCATGACAGTGAGCAAGCAAAGCCATGGAGAGCGTGAGCAAGTTGGAAGTCTCAATCTTTAATAACTTCACCTAAGAAAGGCACATCCCATCACTCCTGCTGCATTCTGTTCGTTAGATGCAAGTCTATAGTGCTGACCTACCCTTGGGAGGGAATGACACAGGGTGTGAGTACCAGGAAGAGTTTGGTGGGGGCCATCTTACAAAGCTGCCTGTCACACCAAGGCTTGCTTAGAAGGTGAGGACTGAGACACGCATTCCCACGTCTGTGTTCTCCAGGCCCTGGCTCCATTTGCTCATAATGATCTGCACAACTCGCGGGCAGAGGGAGGCTAAGTAGCCTCTGTTAAAGACACTGAGTGTTTTAATCCAAGGAAGCCCTGGCATTGTCTCACCACTTACAGGATTCCTGGTGATTACTGTCCAGAGGAAAATGTGGGGAGTGAAGTGATCTGCTGAGTACACAGAAGGAACCCACGTGTTATTCATGTACGTTATGTTCTTGGATTTTGTTTTTGTTCAGTTTCTGTGTCTATAAATAGTTTTGATCTTGGTGGGTTCTTTAGCTGACTGGATAACACTAAGGTCATCTTTTAAATTCTCAGAATTCATTAAGTTAAAGATGACATATGGCAATGAAATAAAGAGTTTAATTTTTATGCTTGTTCCTGTAGACTGATTTGAAAACGTTTATCTTCATATGTCTAGCTAAGTAAACACTTGGCTTGGTCTCCCATGGGGCGGTGTTACTTGTGGGTGTGCTGCTCTTTTACTGCAAGTTTCACATTGTATATATTAAAATTTGGCTTAGACCTTGAACAACCTTTATTGAACTGCAAATGATTCTCTCTGTGAGTATGAAGACAGTCCTTCCTTCCCTCTTGAGTTTTCTCATGCCCAAAGACTTGAAAACCTTTAAAGCTGGGCTTTGACTGTTCACACAGAGGGTTTCTAGTTTGTCCTGGTTGGTTAGTTTGTTGTTTGTTGATTTATATATAAGATATCTCTTCGGAGTTTTTAAGTTCTCAGAAACAAGTTCCCATGAATAGTTAAAATATTTTTGGATTCACACACATCCGTTTTGATAGCTATAACAGAAACAAAGAAAAGAAGGAAGACAGGAAGAAAGAGGAAGAAAGAAAAGTGTTGATGAGAATGCAGAGAAATTGAGAAACTGGAACTCTGTACTGTTGATAGAAGTGTAAAATGGTGCAGCCATTGTGAAAACAGTATGGCAGTTCCTCAATAAACTAAAAATAGAATTTCCATATGATCCAGTAGTTCCACTTCTGAGTGTATATCCAAAAGAATTGAAAGCAGAGATCTTTTTTTCCATTGGGGCTACTTTCCATGAAGAAAGACATTTGAAGAGATAGTTGTACACCCGTATTTATAACAGCATTATTCACAATTCTAGAAAACAAAAACAACTCAAGTTGTTCATCAGTAGATGAATGGATAAATAAAATGTTATTTGTCCATATGATGGAACAGTATTCCACCTTTAAAAAGACTTATCCTGAAAAACCAAGAACTACCATGTGATCCAGCGGTTTTACTTCTGGGTATATGCCCAAAAGAATTGAAAGGATCTCAAAGAGCTATTTCCTCACCCATGTTAATAGCAGCGTTATTTACAACAGCCAAAGGTGGAACAACCCAAATGTCCATGGACAATAGAATGGGTAAACAAAGTGAGGTATCTCCATACAATGGAATATTATTCAGCCTTAAAAAGGAAGGAGATTCTAACACACGCTACACGAATGGACCTTAAGGACGTTATGCCAAGTAAAATAAGCCAGTCACACAAAGACAAATACTGTATGATTTCATATGTAGGAGGTATCTAGAGTAGTCAAGTTCATAGTCAGAAAGTAGAATGGTGGGCTGGGGTTGGTGGTGGAAGAATGGGGAGGTAGTGTTTAATGAGTATGATGATTCTGTTTCACGAGATGAAAAGAGTTATGGAACCCAGGTGTGCAGTGGCTTATGCCTGTAATCCCGGCATTTTGGGATGCCGAGGAGGAAGATCACTTGAGGACAGGAGTTCAAGACCAGCATGGGCAACATAGTGAGACGCCTGTCTCTACAAAAAATTTTTAAAAATCAGCTGAGTGTGGTGGTACATGCCTGTTGTTCCAGCTACCCAGGAGTCTGAGGCAGGAGGATTGCTTGAGCCCAGGTGTTATGGTCTGAGTTAATGCTCAGCTGCTAACCCTCGACACTAATAAATTGAGAGGGAACTGGTCAAAAGAAGTTTATTTCTGAATTCAACTCCAGCGAGCAGAGCCAGGCTGCTGGCCTTTCTAAAATGGTTCTTCTCATCCTTCAAGTTTTACAGTCCATTTTTATAAGTTCAGAGTTGTTGGTACCTATACATTGACTACATAACTAGCAGAGCATTGTATAGGACTTAAGTTACAGCTGCATTTTGTCAATAATGACATTTATGTCCACATTTCCTGGGCCCGGTTACCAGAGGTATCTCACAGTTTCTTACCAGTAGCACCCAGCAGAAGCGTTAATCAAGCTTGCCATAGAGTAAAAGGAGTTAACAAGACCTAAGACATCATACATTACCGCATGTTGTTATATATGCCAAAGTTATACAAATCACAAGACTTACGATTACATTGATACACAAGTTATACCTTGATACTATATTGTCCAAACCTGTGACTACTAAGAAAAGGAAGTAAACAGGGATTTACATCTCTCAGTTAATTGGGCACAGTCTGCAGGGAAGTTAAGGATCCTTTGAAGTTATTTACTGGGAGAGCATAGGAGATGAGGGGAAGCATTCCTTTTGTTAACTCTCAGGAATATGGATACGTGCAGGCCTGCTGGAACACTTGCCATGTCCTTCTCTTGAGGTTGTGGCAATATGGACAGACAATAGCAAATGGAGGCTGCAGCAAGCCAAGAATGTACCACTGTACTGCAGCCTGGGTGACAGTGGGATTAGGGTAAATAAACCCTATCCATAAAAAAGAAAAAAAAAAGTTACGGAGATCGGTGCTGGTGACGGTTGCACATTATTAATGTATTTAATACCACTGAACTGTACACCTAAAAACGGTAAGATGATAAATTTTGTAAGCATTTTATCACAAAAATAAAATGTTTTGGGGAGCCACAGAAGTGCGATGTCCCAGAGTACCCAAGGGCCACCTCTTGCTTTGGAGATTCACCAGGACTCAGGTCTCAGCAATGTATGTATGGCTAAGCTTCATTAAAGCAACATAGCACGTCATGAGGAAAGAGCCAGCCAAGGTCTGGAGGAGTCTGGGCGCAGGCTTCCTTTTGCCCTTTCTCCCCCTGTGAGTCACACGGAGCACACTC